TCTCACGCCTTCGCGTACGTAACGCGTTTGACGTCATTTACATAATCGGGGAAGGAAAAATAGGAATGAAATGCGGAGGGAAATGCAATCGGTACGATTACTAGGCAAGATTGATTTTTTTCTTTTTTTTTTTCCTAGATTCGAGAAGAAAGAACGCGAACGGGATTTCGTTTCCCCGGGTTGCCGACGAAACTCGATGACGCTTGAAACGAAAGAAAAACAAGAAACGAGAGGGAGAGGAGGGGGGGAGAGAAATGTCAAATATCAGAAATATGCCGATCCGTAGGCCGAGGCGAGTTTCCGGTTAGATGACTTTTTTTCCAGGATGAACGATAAATCACGTAATATCTATACGGCGTGTGCCGCTTCCACGCCAGCCAATTTATCGAACAATAAAGTAAGAGCTCCCATTGTTCGGGATAGAAAAATCAGGATAAAAACTTCCGTTTTGCACCGCTGTTCCACTTCGGCCCCGTGTGATCGCGTATCGCGTATGTTTGGGAACGAATGTTAGTTAAAATAACGCACGCGTCCGTTTAAATCGGTCGTGGACGATGTATGATGTTGCACAATTGCGTTTTGAATACGTTTGGAAATTTTCGAACTCGTGAATTCGGCATGATTGAAATACGTTTTTTGTAATAGCAGTATTTTACATCTCTCTCTCTCTCTCTCTCTCAATTTGCAAGAATGAAAATTTTTAAAAATGTAATAAAATAGATGTTGCCGACGAGAGAAATTATATTTTCGAAATTTTCCTAAATTTACGCAATTATATTCATATATATGTAAATATATATATAGATATGATTCGTATGCGTAATAAATATGCAAGAAAGAATAATTTCTCGTGTAATAATAAGTTATCAAGGTGGAATAAATTTTCTTTATATGAAATTTCACTTTTGGACAAATTATTTAACGAATTAAACGTTTTCGTTTATTTAATTATAATATCTGATTTAAATTAGTAGCTCCGTTGTGTTATTTAATTATACGTATACAGGTAATCACTGATCTCAAATGTCTTAAGTAAAATACTTTGTACTAGATTAGGATATCAATGTAAAATGAGATAATAAATATCTATAAAGCTGAATTTACATTTTTCCTTATCGATATGTAATTTTTCATAAAACAAAGAATGAAAAATTGCATACGGATTATTTGCATATTTTTATCGCCAAAATTGAAACTTCAGATAAACAAA